GTTGTGCAATGCTACACACATTGGCAGTAATTCCTCATCATTCTTCCCTTGAGGGGGAAGCTGACAAACAGCAAGGCCAAGAGCTGCCTTCAGCTATAACACAAGCGTGTAGTTTGAGGCTGCATGGATGCCTGCCAGACATACAGCCAAAGGCACTGAAATTCAATGTGGCTGATTTTCAGATTTTACAAATTCTGGATTGCCAGAAAGGTAAAAATACCCCAGTGCTTTTTAGTTTGTACTGCGACTTCTTTAAAGTTAGATTAGAAGGCAATATCTGGTAAGATCCAGGAAAGTAAACAACTTCAAAAAGCAACTTAGGGGTTCTGCCCTTTGGCCACTTCAGCAGCCAGGCTTTGCATCCAGTATATGGCTGCATGTTGCACTTTTTCCTTGTAATACAAGCTAGGAAAAACTGAACTCTGCCCTCTGTCAACCAACATCTTTTTTACTGTGTATCCTGTGTTAGAGGCAAAGAAAAAAGGTTGTATGGTGTGACATAGAATAGTAGGTCTAAAGGTAGTTCTTGTAAGAAAGCGCAGTGAGTAGGGCTTGCCCTTCTCCAGGATGATGTCAAACATTTATTGACAAACCTATCAAATCTTTGTATGCAGTATGAAGAGGAATTACTGAGTTTTACTTCCTTTTGGCCAGTTAGAGAATCGGGTGCTACAAAGAGACAGGAGGACATTGTGGTGTCAGTCAGCCTGACCATGGAGCTATTTGCCTTAGCATTAGTTCTGGTAAGACAAGAGAAGACCCAGGATAAGAGTCCTCCCCAATGCTCTTTCACAACACGCCACTTCCCACTCTCTTCTGTGAGGTACAACACCTCGTGGACCACTGAACTTCCTCTACTGCCATGCAATCCACTGCCGTGTGACAGTGGCCGCACAACCACCACTGAGTATTGCTGTAGGAAAATCAATACCACAAAATACTTCATACCAGTTCTTCTGCTAGCTGCTTGCTCCAATGGTTGAGAAAGGGTGGCCTCCACAGAACTGCTCCTTAATTCAGCTTCATTAAATCAGGTACAAGAGATCACTGATTGCCAGATCTACTGGAGGAAGATAATCCACTGGGAACAGATCTGGTGCTCAGTACTAAACTATTTGACTCTTTGCCTCAGACAACTGCAGGCTGACAGCTACTGGTTATAGCGGAGCCACAGCAAGGACCAAATACAAAAAATATTCTGGAATAGAGCCTAAGGGTCTGGTTCAAAAAAATAATTCAACAGCCACTGTAGCAGCTATGCTGGGGCTCAGTATGTCAGGAGTTGATTCACAGTGGTTGGGGCTAATTCAATTACTGAACTACATGAGGTAAACTAAGGGTGCCACTGCACCCAGGAGACCATGGAATTCAGTTCACATGTAGTAACTGGCTCATGGTTGCCAGTTCAGAGTTAGCTGAGAATCTATATTCAGAAGCAGAAGTCACCATTGTTTTCTTTCTCTCCTCTTTTTCTCCTCCTTGTCCACTCCACACAGAGTGCATTGTTCATTTTCTCCTCATAGGTGTTGCACACCATGAGTTACATGACCATTTCATACCAAGGGGAGTGGGTGACTCTTTGTGCAAGTTTTGATCACTGAGACTGTCTGCTTCTTGAAGAACAAATGGCATCCATACTTAGCAGAAAAACCTAAATCGCACTGTAATTTGATGTAATTCTAGGGACCCAATCAAAACCCAGCAGTGAAAGCAGCAAGCAGAGTAAATATTATGCTTAAATGTAGGAGTCCACCCAATCAATTATTCCTCAGCACATCACTTCCAAAGAGTGAACATCACTTAATATAGTATGAGCACTTTCAAAGCAATTTATATTTTCATGAAAAAAAATGACACTTTTTCTGAAAGCAAGGATCTAAAATGCATTTATGTATTTATGCATGCTTCACTTACATAAAAAGTGCTTAGCATACTCGATGTTAATAGCAAAGCTTGCCCTGACTACACTGATGTATATATTTTTGACACACATGCACAAGTCAGGTAGAGCATTTGCATACCAAGCAGGGAGTTTGAGCTCCAGCTTTCTGGGGCAGAAAGTGCTTTTAATTGGTTGTGATGCATGGAACAGAGAGCCTGACAGTGCTAATCGGAAGTTAACAAGCAGGAAGGATTTGTTCTTTGAAAGCTGAGATTTCCGAGTAACCGTTCCTACTTAATCCACTTTGAGATAAGGAGGGGAAGGAGGATTTCAACTGGACTTTGGTGACCTCTTCAAAAGATTGTCAGACGTGTTTTTGCTCTCCCAGCAAGACAGGCATAGCTGTGGCCTCATCAGGGACACAGGCATAGGGAACAGACTGCACAAAAGCAAAAGTGGGAAAGAAGTTTCTCTAAGCTGACATGTTTTGCTGGATGACCGCCAGCTGCATGCCAATGCCTCTCTGCGTATTGTTTGGGATTTGCTGCTTTCAGCACAAAGTGAACGGTAATGGAAGCTTTCCGTGTGTTTGAAGATTAATTTCACATAATCGCAACAAAGCTGAAGTCAACAAGCTGAATTTAATTACTAGCCTGACAGCTGGGAGGCAATTAATGCCCTTAAACTTTTGAGAGCTCCCTTGCTTGTATTTTCCCCTTGTCTTATTCCTACTAATTAGAAACATGCTTCAGGGTACAGCTGACCATGGTGTTAAATTAGCACCTTGTCATCAGAACCATAAAAACTCCCTGTTAGACATCAGCTCTTTCACAAGATCAAGAATCAAGGCCATCTCTGAATGGTATGAGCCACAGAGTTCTGCTAACCTGTCTGTCTTGTGGTATCAGCTCCCACCATATTCATCCTCTGGGGCACGTAACTAAAGGAATATCCCATTTTGACTGCAGCAGAGATTCTTCTTATCGCTTTAAAACCTTTCAGAATTCTGCATTGAGTAGAAAAGAGCAAAAAAAAATCTTTGCAAAAGGAAATTAATGTGCCAGCAATTTAGATAAGCATTTAAAGAACTTTTCCTGTTACGCTTAGTGTATCCCATCTGAAAGGAGTGGGGTTACATATCTCCAGGGACTCTAAGCACGGAAATGTTCCCAGTTGTAATGGCATCGTTAAGAGCGAGCTGTACACTACATGCAGCATCAAGGCCATTACATTTTACTCCAAAACTAAGACAAATCTGCTGATTCAGCATGCTGCAATTTGGAATTTAATCTCTAGAGAGAATTCTAATGTTTAGGTTCATTGTGAATCGGGCAAAAAAAAAAAAAGCCAACTGTTACTTTCACATGATCAGTGATTTCTATGCTATTTTGGTGTTCTCAGCATTTCAAATATGAAATGCCTTATTTTAATTTATTGGGCTGATGTAAATATCTTTAATTTCTGCATTAAACTGTGTTTTCCTACTGCAACACCTTCCCTAGAGCACTTAAAATTGCCTACTGCTGATGAGCAAAGCACCACATTGCTGAGGCAGAGGAGTTCATGTATACATCTGTATTTACACTTGGTGCACTCCATTACAGAGCCCAAAGAAGGCCCTGAAGAAACTTCACAAAATGCATCCCCCACAGGACATTGCAGTTTATCACTTTGTTGAAGAGATTGAGATGCTGGGATAGGGATAACAACCTGCTGGAGTTGTGGGTGCCTCTGTTCACTGCAGGGGAGCTGGACCAGATGGCCTTTATAGTTCCCTTCCAACCCAAATGATTCTATGCTTATCAGAGGCAGACTACTTCAGCCACAGAAAATACTTTCCATTTTCTTCCGTGGGGGGAAAAAAGAAAAGCAGTTCCCTGCACAATTACACTTGTGAAATTGCTGAGCAATGGGAAAAATCCATATTTTTAAGGGCTCAGGTCAGGGTAAGTTTAGATATTTTTGGAAAACTATCTTAATCATACTACCAGTAGGTCAGTGGAGTTGACTGATGGGTCTATGACTTCTTTCTTGTTTGCACTGGTGGAGAGAAAATCTTTGTTGCTGGCAATCCCATTTATTTCTGTGTGCACTCAGCCTGCCTGCTGCCAGCCGTGCAGAATCTGGAAAGCAAACTCTGCCCAATAGTTCTGCTTTATGTCTGCATTTCGATGAGTGCTGGTAATTAATGATCTGTTGGTAAATTAACACTGTACATGGCAATTGACTGTGGTAATGAAGTTAGAGTCATCTTTATGGTTTATTAGTATAATAATAAACCACACTCAGCATGTAATAATGGCATACAGTTAAATTAAAGACTTGCTGATGCCTTATAAACCATTCTGAGAAACATTCTTGCAGCAATCAGTAATAGTCTTCCCATGCACAGGCTTTCCTTTGTATTCTGTGGATACAGCTCTGTCAGTATATATTTTTTTCTATTACTCTTGACCAACAAAGCAGGTCAGATAGCAGAAAAACAAATTGACTGGAACATTTACTTCAAGTTGAACTAATTTTTAAACGCTTTGAGTGAAAAATAAGGAGCCTTGGCTCCTTCAGAATGCGTCTGTTCTGTTTTCACAAAATGTAACACTAGAGTTGTTCATCGCTTTCCTCTCAGACAGAGCCACCAGTTGAATATCACAGTGTTTCTTAACACTTGGCAACTTGAATTGTCTATGCAGCATTTTAAAAAATGAATGGAGCTAAATCTGTCCTCCCAAGTCAACCAGGTTGACTGGCACAGTCCTGTGACCAGCTTTCACAACCAGCTTCCCTCAAACTTTCTACTTCATATGCGTCTCTGAGGTCCTCCTTGTATGGAGAGAAGCCTGGCCTGATTCCTATCTCCTTCATTAATCTGATCCCAAAACTGGCAAAGTGCTCATCTGAGCTCTGTACTCTGCACCTAGAAGCCCAAACCACCCAGCGAAGCTTGGCACCAAAGTACTCTCAGATCTGCTTTATAGCCTCTACTGTAAAATAGGAACATTATTTCTCTTCTGCAAGAATAGCAAGAGCTCTGCTTTATTCAGCATTGCAATAAAGGATTCATGCTGCGAGTGATCAGGCTCTGAGAGAAGCCTCTAATGGCATCTGTACGCTGAATTTAACAACAGACAAAAATATCTAGAACTCTCCAGACTTCTGCCTGTAGGATGCCAAAGCAATGTTTAGGGAAGCTGTTATTTTCCAGAAAAGCTGCTTCTTCCTCCCCCCAGGCTCCCAGTGTACCTAACTGGCCACTAGATGACATCCCAGGCCTCTCCAAGTGCCCATTTACAATGCTAAGTTGACACTACTTGCCCTCCATCCAATATTAGACCTGATTGTTTTCTGGTGAGCTGTGTGGGTTTTTTTTGCTCATTCTGTCTGATAGAATGAATATAGTTCTCTTTCATATCTTTGGCTTGTTTTCTTAAACTGGAAACTCATTAGGCAATGGCTAAATCTGGTGGGAGACTTAACTGTAGGCTGAGCTATTACCCTCGTGTCTGAGACAAGATTTTCTTAGATAAAATACTGCCATGATGCTGCTGTCGGTGTGTGCAATGTGCTGCCCCAACAGAAGCAATGAGTCTGATACAGAGGAAACCTCTTAAGTCAGTGGCAGTGATTTATCTATTTTTTTCCTGAATCAAACAAAACTGTCTCATTGCACTGACATGGGTGTGCTGATGGGCCCAAAGGGGTATGTGGGTCTGGAATGTTGTGTTGATGAAAGTTGTGATTCAAAGAGGAGAGGTGAAAAGAGTCCCTGAGAAGCCCCTGAGATTTCTTATTTTCCCTTTATAAAAGCTAGACTACAATCAAGAACAAGGTGATCACTGCCTTCTCCTGAAAAGTCATTAGAGGAGGTGGTCAAGCCACAAGGATATGTCATAACTTCAGAAATATGTACAAACTTCACTGCAAGGAGGCTCAGTTGTGGCTGTGAGGAGCTTCAGAACTTCTCTCCATTGATTGCCATGGGACATTTGTCTTTCTAAAGCCATGCTTCAGGTGCTGTGTGGTAGGTCCATTTTGCTGTCATCTCTGCCTTCATTTTATCTCTTAAAAAAGCTTAATTGACACTACACGTGTTCCTTGCAGCAGAAAGCACTTCTATGACATTACCCTCTTTAAGACTGCACCTTTGAGGAGCTTACTGTCTTCTTCAGGTCTCCAGATTAACAGCCTTCAGGCTGACAGTGTTTTCCAGCCACCTCTGATACAGTCACTTCCTTGAATTGGCAAATTCCCCTCTCTCCACTGTTCATACAAGAAGTTTTTTGAGCAATATAAATAAACACCTGACAGATTCTGCTGAAGCTGAATATCCTCACAGGAGAGTAAAGAAGTCAGCAGGGAGAGCAAGCAGTGGTGTCCTGCTGCTATGAGACTGTCTGGTTTAATTTTCATTCATCTGCTCATAGCTGGTCACTTCCATGCCCAGCTTCAAAATGCTAATTCAGACTTTCTCATTAATTAATGAGCTTTGCCCGGTGGGAATCTGCTTACTGGGGGATGTCTGTGTGCCTGAGATGAGCAGCTTTTCTAGAAGTCAAATATTCTCAGCGGGAGATGCTCAGCAAACTCAAAAGTGTGCACATGCACAAATTAATATGTAATAAATACACCTACTAATGCCAGGGTTTAAAGATGGGCTCATAAATGCTGACTGGACTCAAAGAGCTGTAACAGCTCCTAATGAGCAATTATGAACAATGACTTTGTTTAGTGTTTTAGAAAATGTCTGTCTAGTGATGGTGTGAAATAAAGGCTTGCAGGAACAAATGGAGTAGCTCATACTACAGCTCCCTTCTAACAGCCCTGGGAATGATTTTGTAGCCATTTCACTAAGGGCTTTTTGTGGCTTGTCCCTGCCCTGGCTTCAATGACTAATGGAACAGCATTTCAGAGGTCTATTAGTCACCACTAGATAGCAACATTTTTCCTTCATTTGCAGGATGGGGAGAATTTGAGCTGCGTTATGTTATGGTTCAAATAATCTTCTAATGCCAAGAGGTAACCCAAACTCTTTCACTCTCTTTCCATAGAAATCACTGTCACGCCCTCTCTGACCTTTATAAAAATAAAGAGGCTGCTGATGCTACTCTCTGTTCATTTCAGAACACAGACAGTCATACTAAAACGTTGTGGAGAGCATCCATTTCTCCTCATTTTTAGAGCAGGCTCTTCGAGGTGTTAAGGAACATCACACCAGAAAGCTGTGTGACTTCTGCCCCAAGCATATATATAGGACAGGCGAAGGGATTAGAGGATCTCGAGGGATCCTTGTAAGCATAAATCTATAGGGCTGTGTCTAGAGCAGAACTGAATGTTCAGAGGGTGTGAATGCAGAAGGTGTGTTGGCTCAGGAATGCAGACTACAAGTGGACAAATTCACGTTCTTATGAAAGGTGCATCAGGAACCTCAGTCTCAGATTCTGCTCCAGTTGCAGTAGAAACCAAGGTCGAAATCCAAACAAACAAACAAACAAAAAAAAAAACAACCCAACTTCAGGTTATTTTGGCACGTGTTGGTTTTCTCTGCCAGGGGAAGGGCATCATTCTGGGGCTGGTCAAAGGTTGTGATGTAGTTGAGGTGTGGTTGGCAAGAGCCACGTGGATGGATTTACTCTTTCCTAATACTGCTAATGCCTACTATCCAGAGAAGTGTTTCTGCTGGAGGATTAACACATGTAGATATTATGCCTGGCAAAACTCAGGAAGTAGAACTATCTCTCATTGATGCTTTTGATTCAAAGTCTTCAGAATTCTCTTGCAAATGTGTATGAAAACCTGATTCCTTCTGTCCAGTCTAATTCACTACAGCAGTTCACATTTGTTTGGGTACAGCTTAATAAAACACATGCTGTGTTTGAGAGACCAAATATCTTTTGACCACAAAACACTCATTTGGAAGGATGCTTTCACCAGCTTTTTTATTTCCCCTGAAGGCCACTTTCCCAGTATGGCTCTAATAGAAACAGTGCACAAATACCATGTGAAAGGTTGGGCTCCAAACTTTGGCTGTATCTTCACCGAGCAGAAGCAGTTTGCCATCCTCTGCGCAATGAGCACATGATGGCCAAGTGACCTGAGCTGTGTGAGGGGCTGGCAATCAATCGTTGTGGTATTTAGACCTGGGACAGTGGTACATTCTTTTTGCTTCCCAGAGGATGTTTTTCCAGCTCTTGGTAGCAGTTGAGAATCACTGACTGCATCAGCTGTTTGCAGTCTGGCAACAGAAACTCATTGACTGAATTTTCATAGAGTTTCATGTTAGAAGCATTACACAGGCTTGTTTTGCAGTATGAGAGATTCAGGTGCATATGAACAGGAGAGGTGATGCTGGTCTGTGCCTAGCCAACTTTTAAAGGAGAAAGAGTGAACAGCTTGGAAGTCGCTTCTCATCACCAGGCAATGGAGGTTCCCATAATGGCAGCCAGGCTCAGCTCCGGCTGTAAATCATTTCTTGATTACCATATCCAGTGAGAGCTTTTCTACTTGGGTTACTGATGATGATAAAGTAGGTTGTTAACGATGAGCCAGGACAAAGCAAGCGATCTTAATAGTTGAAATGTTATCCTCTCTAAAGAAGTAATAATAATAATGCCATATTATTGAGCCTTTCTAGTCTGAAGGCATCTGTCTGCCTAAGACTGATAGGGCAGAGTGTATTTGAATTTCTTCTGCAGGAAGGAAATGATAAAGCTTTATAATTGCTCTCTCTTTTTTTTCCCCCCTTCTTTGTTCCTTGAGCATGCCAATAACTTCTTTTTTTTTTTTTCTTGTTGCTTTTTTTTTTTTTTTTTTTAAACTATCTCTCTGCATGGGGACTCAGTGCTACACAACACTGCCCTGTTACTAGAGATTGGCTAACTCGACATAAATGGGGGCAACCACAAGTGCACACAGATATTTTCATATCAGAAATAATAATAATCAAACAGTCTTAGCAAAAGTAAATCTTTCTATTCTTGCTTTGTGTTTCCATTGTGTTGTACTAAGGAACATGTTCTAGTGGGGAAATGGTGGTGGTAGGTGGATGGTTGGACTGGATGACCTTGGAGGTCTTTTCCAGCTTTGGTGATTCTATGATTCTATCCATTTTTTGGTGAGAATCCACATCAGAAAGTCCACACCAAACTGTGTTAAGTGTTCCTACCAAGCACCAAACACTGATGTGCCCATCTATGAAAAAAGCACCAGAAACACTTCCTTTTCTTTTCAAGGGTGCAGAAGACATACAGCCTCCTTAGGCTTCAGTAGGCTCCCTGATTATTCAGCATGTCACAAAAAATACAGAAAACACTGGTAAATATGACTTATGCTTATGGGTTATCTAATAGCATCTGAAATAGCACAAAAGGATTTTTAACCTTAGGCCTGAAATGACACTGCAAGGTTTGATAACATTTTGCTCTGAAGCAGAGCAACATTGATTCCTTACTCAGGCATAGATTTTGGATGACTCAGGAGGTGGAACACATCTAATCTCCAGGTCAGCAGATTTGGATCCCAAATTCTCCTAAGTCAGGCAGCAACACAAAACGTAGTCCTAACCAGGTTGATTTGGAAGGGATAACTTGCTTATCAAGCTTTGTGCCTGCCTGCGATATGTTTATTCATATTTTTAGCCTGCCTGCAATATGTTTATTCATATTTTTATTTTTAATATGGTCAGCTATTGCTCTATACACACAGACCTGCAGTATCAGAGACAAGGCTGAACTATTCATGTGAGAGCATGATTAAAATGCTGATTGGGCTGTACCCAAAAAGATGTTGCCTGGATCTTTACAAAAGAAAGGGTTAGGCTGATGTTAATATATGCATCTGCTTACCCAGCATCTAATTTGATCTGCTTTGGAACTTAGCACAGCCTCCATCATCAGACAGAGTGACTTTTGTTTAATCAACTCCTACTGCTTAATAAATGGGTGTGATTAGCATACAAGCAGAGAATTTGATGTGCAGCCTGTCTGGTGTTAGTGGAGGACATGACTTTATGGGACTTCTCTCTGCTTTTCTCCCTTCCCCAAAATGTGAATTTTCCCGTATGCTAAGCATAATGTCCAAGCTACTACTGATTAGCTTACTGTTAATAAGTCATTTTGGAATTGCTATACTTACAAGGGAACAAACCAACCCTAGAACACTATTATATTTGATTATAAAATATATGTATTTTGCCTCCTTCATGATAACAACCAAAGTGCCCTCATGTCTGTCCCAGTCAGAGGTCTCTGAGGGTTGGGATTTGAACAAATGTGCCTCTCTCTCCTCCAGGTCTCTCCTTTTCTCTGAACTACTATGTCATAGGAATGTGCTGGTAAGCAAAAAGTCAGCCATGCTTGCTGGAGTTGCTGTATGTTGCCCACTGCACAGAATTGTTCAGTTATTAATTGTCACCTGCATAATTAAGATTATATGATTATTCTTTCAAGTCATTAGTGGATGTTAAGGGTAGAGGTGTCTATATAGTTTGGTGATACTGAAAAAAATGAATGGATGTACCAGAATACAGAAGGCTCTGAGAACTTCCATAGACCATAACAGAGTTCATGAAGCTGTAACTCAAGCTGACTGTTTGTGTTAAGGATATCCTAGATTATTGTTGGTTTAGTTTGTACCAGTAGAACCACATTCTTCATTGCTGTTCTTAAACCAAGTGAAATTCTTGTGATCTTCGTATGTTTCTTGTGATTCCACTGTGTCCCAAGACTTTAACACTGGTTGTTGGGCATGGTTCACACAACTAATTCTCAGCAGAGGCTTTTTAAAACCACTATTTTTCCCATCCAGTGCTGACTAAATAACATGCTGTTTCCAAACCCTGGAGGCAGCTGTCTGTGTCTGAGGAAAGGCTCTCAAAATGAGTTTGACAGCTGCACTTCTTCTGGAAGAAGTCACTCATGCAAGTTATTATTCCTGCTCATGGATTCTTATCTTCCAAGACCAGAGCAGAATTTACTTCAAACTCAGTTCAACTCTCCTGCTAGGCTTTTTGGAACTGCTTCTCCCACATGCCTGCCTTTTTGGAACTGCCTTTAGATTCCTTTAACTAAAGTGCATATCGTAAAGCTGTGTTAATGTCACTCTTCGTTTCCCCCTCCTACATGCATGAAATCCTAACATGCAATCAAGCAGCCAACCCCAGGACCACTATGCTTTATGCTCTCCTAGTGCGTCTCGTTAGGAAGTATAAATGCCAGAGTGTTATCTAGGTGCTTATACAGTAAGTATTTCTGTCCCTGGAGACAAACTGCATCAACGCCCCAGCAGCAGAAGAGGTTGCACAGCAGGGACACATGAGGGGAAACTCTGTCCAACACCAGCACAGTGTTTTGCACTACTTGACATGCCAAACTTCTTTTATTCTAAAGCAGTATTGAAAAACCTCCCATGCGGTGAACTAATCAATGCTTCGTTTATCTATTGCATCTTGAAAAGGTGTAGAACTGAGTTAACTATGCCAACATTTTCAACACAGGAGTGTTAATATAAACTCAACACATTTCTTTCAAATCCTATTGTGCTTAACAACTAGAAATAACAGCTTGCCTCCTTCCTGTACAGTAGAAGCAAGGAAATAGTAGGGCCTTTAGAAGGAGAACCTGAATGCAAGCCAGTCATCTTCCTTCAGGTTTCCTGCTGGCTCTCGTCTCCAATTACAAAGAAATAATTCACTATCCAAGTTATTTCTACAGTATTTCAAACTGGGCACTGAAGTATCAAAAATTATTGTTAGCCTGTCATGCTCAAGAGAAGTGAAATAAGGAGGAGATAATAGAAAGACAGAAATGACCCAGATCAGTGAGATGTTCTTTATGGTTTATCACAAAGGAGTTTCTCAAGAGACCTTCATGTCATGCCCCGTGAACACATACACACAGCACAAGCCAGAAAGATAACGAGGGAGGGAAAACTGCGGTTTGTATCAGCAGGAGTGCCAGTTTCTTTCATGACATTTATTCCCATAAAAATGTTTTCCTTTATATCTCAATGTGCACAGCCACACTTTCTCCTCTAGATGACACTGTGTCTGCTCAGAATCCAGAGCTGGAGTACCAGAAGCCCTTCTGCACTGGAAAAGTCATGTGGAAGAAAATTGCACCAGCGTCTGCACAGACTATTCCTGTCTCCTGTGATTTCTGTACCATTTGGAGTGGCTTGCTTAGGCCACTGAATCTCAATATCTCGGCAGCAGCTAGGGTTGTGCATGTGCAATGCTCATGGTGTGAGCAAAGTTGTAGGAATGATTTGTGTGTTTATGTATACCCAGTTCCTCCTTGGTTTGTCTGTCTCTCTTTACAAATATTATGAAGCCAAAGGCTTCAAGGCAATCTGCAGCCCTGGACAAATCTGTTTACCAATGGGTAACATCCAGTGCAGGAGTGGGCTATAGCACTGACAAGGTAAAAGAGTAAAAAAGACTGAATCTAGACACTGCAAAGAGCCCAATACTTAGATTTCCAGCTGCCTGCATGCACTCACTGTATCCCTGCAAGGGAGAGAGATTTCACTGGGGAGAAAGATTTTGGGAGTTAGATATGCATCTGAACTACCCTGGTTTCCCCCCCCATTTCTCCCCATTTATTTATTTTTATTTATAAATGGGTTCTCCCCATTTATTGTGAAGTAATTTGGATCAGTTTAAAGTTTGTGACAGTTCAAATGTAGGAATAGTACAAACAAATTCATTAGCAACAAAGCAGGAAACAAATGCAGATGGTTATAAGAACAGAAATACTTTTAGTCTGTACCTTGAAAGTTGCCAGCAGACTCAGAAGCTCGTAACTAAGAAAATAAAGACTAATTTTTCTTCCTAAAGAAGACAAGACTAAAGTCTTCCTAAAGACTAACTTTTCTTCTGCAGCTGTTTCACCAGCTTCAGGGTAAAATTTCACATTCTTTCCCAGATAAAATGGCTCCAAAGGATCAAGTCAGAATATGGATGATAGGCACCTAATTTAATGGCATCAAGAACTGGGGATACTGTCCTGCTGATATCATTGACCACCCATTGATTGTGAGTGACTGACAAAGAAGATAGACCATGGGGCTCACCCAAGCAGGGAATGAGGAGTTAACACTTGTCCAAGCTTCAAGTGTAGTTATTGTCTTCAGAAATGTAGAGAGGCTCCTCCAGAAGAGGGGTGAAGATGAACTCTGCAGAAGGTTGCTTGGTGACTCATCTCTCTCCCAGCAAAAAGAAAGGCACAGCTCAAAATTGATCCCTCTTTTCTTCTCTGTTTGTTCAGAAGATGGAAGAGTGAGATTCCGTAGCTTGCTCTGAACATGGGCTGTCAGTTTCACGTTGCGGTGTCAGAAGGCCAACATCAGCCCAGGTCTTTACAAAATGACTCTCAGTTTTGCTCTGTGTAATGAATAAACAAACCTTCCTCTGTAAGAGGAATTGAATTAATTTGGATTTATTTGCCTAGGTATAGACATTGCAGATGTTTTAATTTAGGCAGTTTGTACTGTCAAAGCGGCTTGGCTGGCTTAGCCTTCAATTTCTGTTCATGCAGGCAGAATTCAGAGTGGCTGCTGCAGGTTTTTTGACCATGGGAAGGGCAAATCCTGCTGAATATCATCAGAGGAAAAGAAGTTAAATGAAGTTTAACTGAAGTACGTGGAGTGGTTGCTATAGCAAAAGTGATGGAAGCCTCTTTGCTTTAGCTGTTGAGAGCAAGGCTAACAAACACGTGTGATACATTACTCCTAAGAACATTTCCGCATCACTGAGATGAATGTGTCCTCTAATTTCCACTTTCCTCATCAAGAAATGAATTGAGAGAGGAAGGAAATACTGGGAAAGAAAACACCCCTTCTGATAATGGACACCGATCTTCCAGACCTCAGGGAATGAGGTTGTGGATTGTAAGGGAGCAGGCACGAGATGCCTCCCTCCAGCTGAGTGCAGTGACTCAAAGAAATGCTCTTTATTTTGGCCTTGGAATCCTATTGCTTGCCAATAGATGTGATGACCCAACCTCTTGGAAAATCTGTCTTCATTTTCCTGCCTCAGTGAGCACAGCAATCCCAGGAGTGAACGTTGTTAATTTACAATTTTCCATTGAATATTGAGTTTGTTCCATCAGGTCTCACTCTTTTCTGATGCGTTTCTTCTGGCATTAGCTGATATTCCAAGGATGGCTTGTCCCTCATTTGTTTATGTCCCATGAGGGTAAAAAATAAGGGCAAAGAAAAAGTGTTTGTTTTCAATATTCCTTCACTTCCTCAAGGATTTTATTTTCTCATACCAAACCCCATGAAGACTCTGGTTTGTGAGTGAGTAACAGCTTGTTCTCTGTCCTCTCATCATCCACTCCCACGACTGCTCCTGCCTGCATCTCAGTGCCATACCATCCTCACATCCATGGGTGGGTGTGCTAGAGCTTCTACAGATCAGCAATAATTGGAAAAAACAAACTGTGGTTTTGCCTGGGTCAATCCCTGCTTGGGGAGAGCATGCTGCAGATGATGTAGAGGGATGAAAAAAGGTCTCTTAAATCACAGAGCACCAGCTACAGTTACCCATATCACACAATGATTTTGCAAATCATTTTCTTTTCATCTTATAAATTGATATTCATTTTACATGTTACCTCCATTTCTAATAAACACACAGATGGTTTCTTCCTTCCCTTGTTGCAGCTGTTTTCTGAGGCTGGTATGTTCTGTGCTTCCAGTGAGGATCCCATGATGACACTTCCAATCAATAATATATTTTTGAGGAAAATAAGTTGCCCAAATGTGTGGAGCCAGTTCTCTTGTAAAGCTCCCTCCTTGCTTTTGTCAGTCATTGCTTCTTAGCAACATATCTTTTGCCCTATAGCAATTTTAGCCTGTAAGACCTGCATCTGAACTCCCATTCTTTTTCACCCTATCTCCACAGAACACTAGAAACCAAAACTGGACTTGAGTTTTCTTCTTTCAAAGGCTTTCTTTTGCCTTCACTGATTTCTTTCTTGCCATTTTTATTCTGTTACTACAGCAACCTTGTGTTTCTTGCTTTGGCAGAGTTGACATGTTAGCATGGGGACACACACAAGGCCTCTCTAATCAGCACTTATGTGGTCTAAAACATTTAGCTCATCTGCTCAGAAGACTTATTAAAATGTTCAACCCATATGCTGTGGGAAGCTCAAGTGAAACTGGAGCCAATATTTTCCCACTTGGTTTCCTGTCATGCAGCCTGACCAAAGCCTCTCAGCAACACACAGCAATGGTGTGTCTCTGCCATAAGGCAGAACCCTCTCTTGTATGTGGTCTTTGGACGCATTTAAAAGCATGTCAGATCAGTCTTCTGCAGTGACTGTTGGATAAAATGCTCTGCTGACATTTGCCTTTTGGAGTGCTAAAAGCTAGAAAAGTAATTTGAGTGCAACACTAGAAATTCAGGGGAACATCTTTCAGAATCTTTCATCCTCAGATGCTTGAAGGGAGACATCTGCAGCAGCAAGTTTCCACAGAGCTGAAACAAGGAATGAGGCAGGCCTCAGACCCCAGTACCTCAAAGGAACCATTTACATTGGTTGACAAGATGGCACTTCCTTGTCCTGCTGCTTAGCACCTAATGGTCTGAAGATCTGTGTCACTTGCTTCGTTTCATTTTGATCTACTTTGTTGCCCTTGTAGATCCCAGAGGAAACATCACCATTTCTTTAATTCCCTCTGCATTCTCTGATACCATTCAGCCTGCCAGTAACTGTTTTATGTTACCTAGGTCTGCATCTTTCCTGAGGGAGCTGAAGGCAGTGGTGATTTTGCAAGATGTATAGCTCCATCGTCTGCCTATTTGTAGCCATATCCATATCTACAAGAAGCTGTATGTGTATCTATATATTTCATTCACAAAAGCATTCTACAGCTTTCTATAAGTGTTGCATTAATAACAAAAGAAAAATGAAGCTTTCTGTTATCTTCACTCAGCAGTTCTCCAGTCCTTCTTCACTATAACCATGGAAAACATTAGGAAGTAGAAGACAGTTCCACACTTATTTGCCCCCCAGGTTTTCAGCAGCACGCATGCCCTTGAAACAGGAGCTGGGAGGTGGAGAGGCTGTTTGGTGAAATTTGGCACATGGAAGATGGATGAGCACAATTCACAAAGGTAACTGCAGCATGAGGATGAACAGCAAACAAAAATACCTTCAAGCCACCTGTTTGGGCAATCAATAATTGGTGAAGGCATCTCTGAAAGGTTTTATCATGCAAAGCTTTGCTTGCTCATCTCAACTGATATAGCTGATGGGTGTTTGTAGTCAAATCCCCTTCACGATGATCCTGTTTAGAAACCAAGTTTCTGCTAAAGAGTCAGTCGTCGTCCCACCCCCCCCCCCCCCCATTACTGGTGCAGTTTACTTCTTTAAGCAGCACTGGGGATTACTGAGGTATTAAGGAAAGTGCTGTGACATTGAATTGTATTTCTTCTGCAAGAGGATGTCAACACGTAGTTGTCCTCCATGGAGGTCGTGACAAGGAATCTGTGATTTTTGTGAAGGATTTTTGTATTTGTTTACGTGGTGCTGTTTTACTTTAGTTTTATAATGAGTAAAGAAAAAATTCTAGTGTCACTGTCTGTATCAGGGACATTAAAGGTGTTTTAAAGCACTACAAACACCTTTAAAATGCAGACCTCATACTATAGATAAAACTTTTACTTAGAGAAGAGATGCTTTGATGCCTTAGATGCATTTGTTTATTTGTTTTAGAGGAGAGAAAAGAATGGCGTGTTTTACTGATACAGCTATTAACCATCAAGATTGCCCAAAGGCATCAGCAGGTTCATTTAAAATGTAAATGAGTCTTGCCAACATTCAGTCGTTCGGATTCTGCAGGCTGCTATTATGTGAAATTGGATGGGGCCCTCATGGCACAACTGAACAGTTACGTTGGCCTCCCTCTTCCACCCAATTATTGCCAATGTGAATGGCTACTCCTATGGACCTGGGAGCTTCGCTCCAGATTAGAAGAGTTGCTTTATTATAGGAGACAGGGACAATTAACTGAGACCCTGTGCTGTTACCAAATCATCTCCTTGGGAAATACCATTTAGCATTGCAAACGGCAAGTGTGCATTTATTCATGTCCTTCCTACACCCTTTTGGGAAGGACCATTCTCTTGAATTAACACTTGGAGACTAGCAGCTAAAAACAAGCATAAGCCACAAAATGCAATTGGACTAAGAAAGGCTTTTCTTTTTAATTCTTAAGCACAGCATGTCCTGAGCTTAAATGGAGATGAATTCACTAGAGAGAACCCTCCCCAACAGCACCCTGGCAAAACACTTAGAATAACAGCTGAAGGAATACTTTTTGCCTTAGAGTGATTTTGCATTAGGGGCACGTTAAAGATGTACATTATCACTTCTTAGAGTTTTCTGATGTTTTTGATCCATAAAGGAAGGCTTGGGAGGCATGTCGCCCACTTAAAGGGCGAGTCGTGCAAGCATGGATCATTCTCATCTCCCAAAGAAGGGTGGTGGAAAATTAAGAGCTCTGTTGAGCAATGAATGTCAGGGTGTTGCCACTGGGATTTGTTTTGAGGTGGAACAAAACACAG